CAGCTCTTCCTCGTATCAGTACTGTGACTTTGCACACGTCACTTAACGTCTCTAAATTCTCTAAATTCTCAGTTTCTTAATCTGTAAAATGAGGGTAATGACAATATCTGCTTCATAGTTTGTGGTGAGTACTAGGCGAGACAAGGCTTAAGTATTTAATAAATGCTCTTAATAACAGCAACGCTTCTGCTGACAGATGAATACTATTGATCCTTATATCCTGAAAATCCCCGGCTCCATCCACCAAAGTTCTAAACCTGAATATACACCTGGATGTCCCTTGAGAATACCTCAAATTCTTCATATTTAAAATTAAACTCCTCTTACGCTCCATCTCAGGCAACGCCACTTCCCTCTTGGCAGTCACCCAATTTAAAACCAGGAGTCATCCTTGCACCCCTCACACTTCAGCCCATAGCCACTCTCCACATCCTATTGATTCTGCAGCCTGAATAAGCAGAAAACTCGACTTTCCTCTTCACTGCATTTAAAATCCTACTGTCCAGCCTCAGTTCAGGTTTTTGTCAACTGCTCCTGCCTCTACTTTCCTCAATTCCTGGCCTTTCAGGACAGGGGATATTTTGTATTCATCTTTGCTTCCTCAGGGCATGGCAGACAGTAGTCATCAAAGAAACATTTGCTTAAAAACCAAACCAAACTAGGAGGCTAAATTCGCTCCAAGGCCTTTCCATGATACCATTTTGCTTCTCTATATAATCTAAGCATCTGAGGTCTAAGCAGAACTAGTTTTTCCTTGAAAAGCATCTATTATTCACCATGGAAGTGTTTTATGTTTCGAGTTAATAAGCAACATTTGTTATATATAGAAGTGGTCTATCACCATGATTTATTCTTTCGTGGAGTTCATACTAACTTCACTGCATTTAAAATTCTGTAACTTAAAAGAAAATATTATAGAAGATGCCAAGTTCTTGAGAAAGGGTAATTTAGAAGAAATAAATACTACTCATTTCTGCGGAAAATTTAATTTATGCTACCCTAAGTTGCTCTTAAGACTTATATGATGAAACAACGAAATTTGGTTTATCTTATAACTGACTAATAAACCATTTAATGCCCTAAGTGCTGTAATGACAATTAACATACTACTCCTCTTATATTTCTGGGGTTTTTGTCCAGACATATCTAGCATGACAATGGTCCTTTTAAAATAATACAATTTACACACACACACACACGCACACACGCACACACACACACACACACATACACAGAGAGAGAGTGAGAGAGCAAGAAAACCAGTAATAAATATGTCTTTACCTCCTTCTAGAAAGTGAAGAAACTGCTGCATCTGTAATGTCGGGTTCCCATTCGTCTTCAGGATCACAAAAGACATCTTCACCCCTGTTACTACCATTACTCTAAGAAAAATACAATATACAGTTTCAGTTAATTTGGAGCGAAATATGTTTAGCAACTAAGAAAAAAAGATTAAATCCTTTCTTACAATTAAACCATAAAATTAGCACGATTATATATTATCTGATAAGTCTAAAAAAAATCATTCCTGATCAAATTAAAAATCAATCATATGATGATGGGGATGATATTAAAAGACATCTACTTTTAATAAAAACGATAGAAACCATTAAATAATTCAGGAATAATAAACTTGGAATTTATAAGAATAATAAAAACACAAACAATAAAATCCTCAGCAGAGACATAAAAGAATAATCTGACAAAACTAAGAGATAGTCACTTCCTGGTTGAATATATTGATCAGGATTATAATCTATATTTTATATATTTAAAGTAATAATAATTACAATTCTACCAAAATGCTACGTAGAACTTGATTCGGAGACAGAATCATTACACAGAAAAATGAGTTTAAACAACTGCAATGAATGGTTAAAAGCAAGACGTAGTTAAACCTAGGGTAATTCAACAATGAGGTTTTAAAGTATGCATCAAGGCAAGCATAATCAAATAACCTCCATACTGCTTTTGTTGTTCTAAAAACACAAGCAATTCATATTAATTGTAGAAAAATTTGAAACTATTAATACATATAAACACAAAGAAAAAAACTGAAACCACTCATAAACCCATCATTTACACATAAACATTGTCAATACTTTGATATGATTCCTTTCAGCCTTTTTGGATTTTCTCTTATGAATATACCTTCCATTTCTGGCATAAACTGTACTTCTTCATGGTGTAAGATTCTCTTTTTTCCTTTTGTAGAGACAAGGCTGGTATCAAACTCCTGGGCTCAAGTGATCCTCCCACCTCAGCCTCCCAAAGTGCTGGGATTAGAAGGCAGCCTTGACCTTCCAGGTTCAAGCAATCCTCTCACCTCAGCCTTCCAAACAGTTAGGACTACAGGCACACAGCACCACATCTGTCTAATTTTTAGAATTTTTGTAAAAGAAACAGGGTTGGCCGGGCATGGTGGCTCACATCTGTAGTCCCAGCACTTTTAGAGGCCAAGGCAGGCAGATCAGCTGAGGTCAGGAGTTTGAGATCAGTGTGGCCAACATGGTGAAATGCTGACTCCACTAAAAATACAAACAGAAATTAGCTGGGTATGATGGCACACGCTTGTAATCTCAGCTACTCAGGAGGCTGAGGAAGAAGAATCGCTTGAACCTGGGAGGTGGAGGTTGCAGTGAGCCAAGATTGCACCACTACACTCCAGCCTGGGCAACAGGGCAAGACTCCATCTCAAAACAAACAGGCAAACTAACAAAAACTACGCCACCCAGACGGTCGTGAACTCCTGGGCTCAAGTGATCCTCCAGCATCAGCCTCCCAAAGTGTTGGGATTACAGGCGTTAGCCACTATGCCCGGCCCTGCTAAAATTTCTTCTAGAACTTTTATAGCTGTGTTCATATTAAGATTGATTGGTAGGCCAGGTGCAGTGGCTCATGCCTGTAATCCCAGCACTTTGGGAGGCCAAGACAGGAGGATCAGGAGGTCCAGAGATCGAGACCAACCTGACCAACATGGTGAAACCTCAACTGTACTCAAAAAACAAAAATTAGTTGGTCGTGAAGGCGTGTGCCTGTAGTCCCAGCTACTTGGGATGCTGAGGGCAGGAGAATCACTTGAACCTGGGAGGTGGTGGTTGCAGTGAACCGAGACCACACCACTGCACTATAGCCTGGGCGACAGTGCAAGTGCAAGACTCTGTCTCAAAAAAAAAAAGATTGGTTGGTAATTCTCTTTTGAGTCATCTTTTCAGTTTTTGTGGTTTTTGCTTGTTTTGTTTTTAATCAGTTATTCTATCATAAGATAAACTGTGATACTTTCTATTTATTGTTATGTTCTAGAAAAGTTTAATCTAGAACAGTCTAAACAGAATAAAATTTACCTGTTCTTTGGCAATTTAAAAGAGCTTACTCATAAGAGTGTCTGAGATTATCACCTCTCTTCCTACACTTTTTTTTTTTTTGAGGGCAGTCTGTTGACTAACATTTCAAATTACTGCATGGTTATTCACCTATCAAGTCAACTTTCATAATTTATCTTTTGTTAAAAAGTCTCTTCTTTGTAGGAAATTGTCAAATTTATTAGCATAAAGTTTTATAGGTAATATAATTTTTAAATGTTTTCTTTATGTTTACTTAAATGCCACTTCTCATTTCTAAAATCACATTTATATTGTCAAAGAATAAGAACTTATATTTATTAATTTCTAATTCATTAATTATTGCTTTTATCTTATAATGATAAAATGAATTGTTTTCTTTTGTTTTATTTTATTTTTATTTTCATTTTTCCATTAAACAATTCAAGTGTTAGGCTACAATTTGGCAGCATCCTCTAAGTTTTTCCATATAATACCTTCATTACTATAATGATCTAAGTAGTATATAGTTCCATATAGAGTCACATTGTTTAAAGGTAGTACATTTGACAAATAGTAGCAATGCAACAATTTAATATATGTTGCAGCTATTTTAGGGATAATTTTATGGACAATTAGATAATGACATAAACTTTAAATTCATACCACTCATAAAACGCCATAATAAATTCTATGTGATTCAAAGATGTGAACTTTTTTTTTTAATTAAAAGAAAATGCAAGGGTTGTAAAATGTTTCAGTAAGATCTCTGGAATAATAGATGGATTCAAATTTACCAAATTAAAAATGCCTGCATAACAAAATGAAACCAAAAAAAGATGATATAATCAGGAAAAAAATGTATATGATAAATATAAAGGCTTATCAAAATATGGAAATAACTTTTATAGCTATATTAGCTAATTTCCTACATTTCATTTAACACAAAATTCAAAGGCCATGAACACATACTTTACCCATAAAGAAACCAGAGTCAAATCGCCAGATTTACTAGTTATTAAAATACAGTTTGGACACAATGGCTCATGCCTGTAATCTCAACACTTTGAGAAGCTAAGATGAGAGGACTATTTGAAGCTAGGAGTTCAAGACCAGCCTGGGTAACACAGCAAGACTTTGTCTCTATTACAACACACACACACACACACACACACACACACACACACACACACACCCCGGTAAAATGCAAACTGGTAACATTGGTAAATGGCAATATTTCTGGCAAGCAACTTGTTGGTGAGCATCAAAGTGTATTCACATTTTTGGTTTCATTTTGGAAAATAAAAGATGGGAAAATAAGACATTTAAAACTAATATGTACAGAGATTTTTTACTTGTGACTATAATAGGCAGTAGACAGTTGGAAGCATGCAAAGCACAGCAACGGAGAAATGTAAATATGCAAAAACGTGTATTAGGCATAGGAAGATCATTTCAAATGATGTAATATGATTTATGTCTAACAAACTTCTTTCCTTAACTTAAATGCAAAAATTTTTTAAATATACAATTATAACAATAGATTCAGCTATTAAATTTCTCTATTATACCTATGACTGTATTAAAACAACCCAATAAAACTCCATTTAAATGCAAAAGTAAATATATATAATTGTTAATACTGGTTGGTTTAGGGAATTGACAGACTGCCTTTTATTTTCCAAATTTTCTCTATGGAGAATATGTCACTTTTATATATATATATTTTCACCAAAAGCAGATACTTGAACTTTTATACCTTTTTATTTTAAAAAGCTTATAGGGATTTTAATAATATTCCAAACCTCATAAAGTTCTTTCATTGCTGCAAGTTTAGATTCAAACTTTTCCAGACTCCAGAATGTTGAGATTCCTAGTTTTAGGTTACGAACCCGAATAGAAGTGTCAGAACTACTTCCATCTGATACATCATGTCTGAAAGAAAAACAAACAAAAAAAGATTATCCTGAAACATACACATCCATTTATACTGAGTTTTCTAGAGTAGAATAATTTCCCTAAAAATTGTGTCCACTGATTAAGTCTTTCCATAGTTTTTTTATTATAGTAATAATCATGTAACTATACACCATATAAAAAAATTTTTTTAATCGAAAATTCTAATAAGGTATATTCCTTTTGAACAGTGGAATGCTGATAAACATTTTTTTTTTTTTTTTTTTTGAGACGGAGTCTTGCGCTGTTGCCTGGGCTAGAGTGCAATGGCGTGCTCTCGGCTCACTGCAACCTCCACCTCCTGGGTTCAAGCGATTCTCCTGCCTCAGCCTAACTTTTCAGCTCAAAAGAAAATGAGCAAATTCCTAAAACAACTAAAATTATTCTATTTATAAATATACATAGAATATACTAAAAACATAGTATATTAATTGTTGAAACCTCTCTTACTCCAGAATGAGCTCTGAAAGGGCAGTCTAAGCTTCACTGGGGATTCTGGTATCAGCTCTTTCCTACAGCTGTAGAATGGACTTTACAGAAACTAAATGATATAAAGGCCAACTTGTTTAAAACATTTATAATCAGGATAATTAATTACTCACCTGCCAAAAACATAGTAAGTTTTCAATTTGCTGCTAATAGCATTGGCTTCCTGAATCATCACTGAGAGTTTCTACAGTTGTAGAATGGGCTTTAGAGAAACTAAATGACATAAAGGCCAACTTGTTTAAAACATTTATAATCAGGATAATTAATTACTCACCTGCCAAAAACATAGTATGTTTTCAATTTGCTGCTAATAGCATTGGCTTCCTGAATCATCATTGAGAGTTTCATGGAGCTCCAAGTTGTCTGCACTAATACAAAGCACATAGAAAAGATTCAAAATGCATACATGGGCACTAACAATTAGGCAAAACAATTCCTAAAAAGACAAATTTCTGATTTTAAATGAATGGTTTTAACTCTGTATTGCAGAAGGATAAGTGATATTTGAGCAGTAAGGTGAAATTAAACATTCTTCCTATAAAATGAGGTCTTTTGTCTGTGGAAAGATGTAAGAAAATTAGTTGATATAAAAAAGATAAGTCAAAGACAATTATATTCTTTCTAATATCTACAAAGATTTTTTTTTCTAATGTCTTTTTTCTTTCTCATTTCTAAATTCTTTCAAGTATTGGGTATTCTATAGCCTCATATAGAATCACATTCTTTTGTATTTTGTCTAAAAATTAAATATACACACATAAACATATATATGTCAGAACATTAAAGTAAAAAAGGAAAATAATTTGGTGCACAATTTCACTTTCCTTTTTTTTTTTTTTTTTTTTTTCTCACTCTGTCGCCCAGGCTGTGCTGCAGTGGCTCAATCACAGCTCGCTGCAGCCTCGACCTTCCCAGGGTCAAGTGATCTCCCATCTCAGCCTTCCAAGGAGCTGGGACTACAGGTGCATGCCACCACACCCAGCTAACATTTTTATATTTTGTAGAGATGGGGTTTCACCATGTTGCTCAGGCTGGTCTTGAACTCCTGGGCTCAAGCAATCTGTCTGCCTCAGCCTTCCAAAGTGCTAGGATTACAGGTACAAGCCACTGCACCCAGCTCCTAATTTGAATTTAAGATTCTGACTGGGTGCAATGGCCCATGTCTATAATCTCAACATTTTGGGAGGCTGAGACAGGAGGATCACTTGAAGGCCAGAAGTTCAAGGCCTTCAACTTAGTGACACCCTATCTCTAAAAAATAAAATAAAATAAAATAAAATAAAATAGGCAGGTGAGGTGGCATGTACCTATAGTCTAGCTACTGGGGAGCCTGAGGCAAGAGGATCACTTAAGCCCAGGAGTCTGAGGTTGCAGTGAACTATGCACCACTGTAACCCAGCCTATGTGAGACAGAGCAATACTTTGTCTCGAAAAAAAAAAAAAAAAAAAATTTCGTAAATATATTGTTCTTATAACCAATTCTCCACTAAAAATAGCTTTTTGGAAGGATATACTCATTATTCACACGAACTAAAAAATCAAGTAACCATTGTAAGGCTCTGTCTAGGCCCTCAGAAGAATAAAAGTATTTCTCTCTGGCAACAGATAATAAAGAGTATTGGCTGGACGTGGTGGCTCACACCTGTAATCCCACAATTTTGGGAAGCTGAGGCGGGCAGATCACCTGAGGTCAGGAGTTCAAAGCCACCCTGGCCAACATGGTGAAACACCGTTTCTACTAAAAATAAAAAAATTAGCCAGGCATGGTGGCTGGCGCATGCCTGTTGTCCCAGCTACTCTGGAGACTGAGGCAGGAGGGTTGCTTGAACCTGGCTGGCAGAGGTTGCAGTGAGCCGAGATTGCACCACTCCACTCCAATGCACTCCAGCCTGGGTGGCAGAGCAAGACACTGTCTCAAAGAAAAAAAAAAAGAGTATTAATATTTTTAAAGTTATTTTAAAGAAGTTACAGAAAGTACAACATACCTACCAAGTATTCTTGCTAAAAACTGAACCTGAATATGATAGGCCTGTAGGTCTACCTATGACTTTCTAGAGTATACTGGAACAGAGGAGCCTGTTAAGCAACACCGGGGAGACACAGTCAGCGAAATCCAGAATCCAGGAAACTCTACAGGACAAATCATCTGATTTCTTCAACAAATTATTAGATGAAATAGAAGAGTGAATTTACAGATTAAAAGAGATCTAAAAGGCACATCTACCAAACACAATGTGTAGATCATGTTGGTATCCTGATTCAAACAAATCAAGTGTTTAAAAAAAAAAGGGGGGGGGGGCCAGGTGCGGTGGCTCGCGCCTGTAATCCCAGCACTTTGGGAGGCCGAGGCGGGCGGATCACAAGGTCAAGAGATC